ATGACATGACAAGGTGGAAGAGAGTGTTTTCTGTTTGAGAGAAGAACTCAGCCTAAAATATGCAGGATTTCTGTGTTAAACTTGTGTGAATGAAACAAAACACAACTCCAATTTGTGATGAGGAAACAACATTATAACATAGATCAGAAAATTGTGTAATATCGACCTATGTGTTACTTAATGACATGACCAAAGAGGTTGGAGTTGGGACTGAACCTCCAAGTGAAGTAAATGTAAAATATTATCAACAAATAATATTTAGAATTCAATGTTTCCTATAGATTTTAGGCATGTAACAGTAACCAAAATATTGTGATATCGTATCATCAAAAGGCTCTCAATAATATCATGGACCATCACAATATCAAATTAAAAGTTTCTTTGCTTAAATTCACTGTTATGGTAGCCTGATTCGTTAGCCGGTTTTACTTCATTTTGCTTCGTTTCACTTTGTACAAACCGTCTGACCTCGCAGCCTTGGATTTCATTCGTTTGACGGTCGGTGGATATTTTTTATCATTTAACCAATCACTGCTATTTGGTCATGACGTATGTAATGTTATCAGGGCTAACTGGTATATTAATCTTTTCCCAAATCCCATAGGAAGAAGGACAATAACGTCTTTCCTCTTGATGAAATTCACCAAACATTCTCTTTGTTCCGGCTTTAAATCCTCGATCTCGGGAGTCGTTGACAACACTGAATGTATCACTCTGCGCTGACAGGCTGATACCTGAACTTGCTCTTCTGGGGTTTTTGCAAACCATCTATTGTATTTTGTTTCCTGACCTAGTTGCTGGAGAGACATGAAATTGAGCGGACGCACTTGGTGGCACCAGCTTGGCTACTGTTATGGTGCTGCAATAGCTAAAAAAACAGAGGGAACTACATCGACCATGATCCTTTGCTCCGTTTTGGTGCAAACTACATGAAGAAATAGCAGTTCTAAGCACTTTTAAATCTTAGTTTTTTGGATTAAGTCTTGTCAAGGCATTTTAAGAGGAAAAAGTAGCATACAGTATTCACAATTTTGTTTGCCTCCACAAAATATTGCAACAAATATCGTAATGTGAAATGTATATCATGAAAAAATTGTACTGTGAGATTTGGATATCGTTACATTTTCACTATCAATTCTTCTCCATTCAAATAGTTATTACAATGAACCAGTGAATGCCGTGATAATGATCCAGACAAAATATCCGTGCACGTGGGAAAACTGTCCGCTTTGAAATAGCTTACTGCATGGGAAACTGCTATTGTCCTGCCCTTTTTTTATTTTCTCTTCTCACCACATTAAGATGAGACCTTCATTTCGACAAACCACGAGGAGGACGGGGCCTGAGGTTTAGCTGTGAAAGCAGAAGTGTGCTTCGTCAGCTGGGGCCTGTTTCCTCCCCGTAGTCTGAATATGACACAACTGCACAAGAGGCTGCACCGTCTTTAGTCCGCTCTCTGTCAAGTATGCATGTCAGGCTAACGCATTTTGAAGTACGACGTGTTGCTGAAGTAAATATAGATGATAAATTATAATATTGAAAGAAAATCTCGAAGCAGAATTATCCGCAAAAGGTATCCTACATGTAAAATATTGTTAAAAATAAGCCACAATAACACAATGCAACACTTACAGAAGACCTATTATGCAAAATCGACTTCCCCTCATGACTTTATGTATTTATTTTTACAATATTTTAACACCTTCTCGCGTGCAATGACGACCTGGCCAAGAGGCAGTATAAAAAAAAACACAAGCAGAAAACATTTACACATCAACCATAACATCAACCAGTGAATAGAGGCGTGAGACAGTGAAAAAATTGCAGATTAAAGATATTAAAGTGTTAAAAGCATGTGCAAGTGGGGTTTTAAAAGTTGACAGAGGTAAAAATGAACTAAGTCTGTTGAAGGTTGTTCCAGGCACTTGCTGATTTACTCACTCAAAGTTGTATTTCGACTGATTTGTGCATGTTTGAGTAATATTTAATCACTTATTTTCATTTTACTGCAGATGAACCCTGCATACGCACACTGCTCTGTACTAACTTCGTTTTCCAATTTTATTTTCTTAATTTGTGATGTGTAGTCATTTAGTTAAGAATGAAAAAAACTAAACTAAACAAAAATTGCTGCGGCTATCCATAGAAGGCGCCAACAACTTCAGCACTTTTTATTTGTGGTGATGTTTACGGCGACGTCAGCTCCCGTTGGGCAGAAGTCTGCGGACATGCAATAATTAAAAATATTGCAATTTAAAAAGTGAAAATTGGCCTATTACATAATGATACATGGGTTTGTTAAATTATAACTATAGACTAGTAATAGCATACACATCTTAGAAAGTGGGTTTGAAATTTTAGTATTGTAATTTAACACAAATTTTGACACAACTCCAGCATCACCAGTATAATGGAATAAATGTTTATCCCTAATTGTGTGTTAACCTCATGAAGCTCAATAAGTTTCTTTAAGTAGCCAAGTTAGTCTGTATCTATAATAAATCATAGAAGTTCTTAAGTCTATCTTCTACAGTTCAAATCTCGATCATAGAGCAGAAAAATAACCACAGTTTTCACTAGTACAAAGATAAAAACCTATGAACTTGGAAAAAAACTATGCTACTGTCTAAAGCAAACGCAATCGAGTCCGAGACGAGTCCTACGACACTGCGATCTACCCACACGAGCTTGGAGATCGGCTGGTAGATCGCGATAGACGTATTGGGCACCACTGGTCTAAAGTGACCAAATGTCCCGACAGTCTCAGTTTTGAGCCCTGTGTCCCCTGTCCCAGCAGATTTATCAAAAACCAGTGATTTGTCCCAGTTTTAAGCTACGATTATATGATGACGGTCTGAACAGAAAACTCAAAAGTGGCGTCGCGTCTTCACGTTTTATTCCGCATTTAGATGAGCATTTTCAGGAGGAAATCTGCGTGCAAGCAGTGACGCAAAAGTGTGTGGAATTTGACTGGGTGTGCATGCCAGGCGGCCACATGGTGACGCTCGGTGGTGATGTATGTGACGTAAATGCGTACGTGACGTGAGCAGATCTGACCAGAGTTTTGCGTCTTGGGCAGTGTAGACGGAAACACTACGGTGGAGTGTATTCAACATTTCTACTGTGGAGGGTAGTTTCAGATTTTTGCGTTTTTAAGCCCCAAAACGCTGTCATCGTCTAAACAAAAGGCACTTCTGATAAAATATTTTGTCATTTTTACCTGCAGGCTTTCTCATGTAAACAGGCCCTTATACAATGAATGATTCTAGTGTCCCTTTTTTGGACCAATGTCATACTTGCCAACAGTAAAGAGAAAGCATAAATTGACATTCGTTTAGGTAAAATACAGAAAACCTGCTTAAAAATGACCAAAACACAAAGAAAATGTGACCATACTGACTCATGTTAGTCATGAATGGGCCAAGTGCAGAACATTTCTCCTTAATTACACACTCGTTTCACAATTTTATTATTACCAACCACCACAAACCCGAGAATGTCCCAGTTTTTGATTTTGAAATTCTGGTCACCCTAGTACTGACCTATCTGTCTTATAGGCCTTCTGAACGACATAGTGATAAAGTAATTATCGCGACAGGTAAGGCTGTGTAATTCATTGAAATTTGATCGCGATTTCGATTTGTGTGTCAAACAATCTCCCAACTCATGTAATCGAGTTGAAATGATAAAGCTTAACAAAGTTTATTTTGGGATATTTTTTTACATAAATAAGTATATTTATTATATTTTTTTTAAATAGAGAGATTTCAAAACAGCTAGATATATAGTTTATTTTGGATACATTTATGTTTTTCTATGACTTATTTCATGTTCAAAGAATATTTTATAAATTTTTTAAATAAATGCTTTTATAAATGTTTTGTGTGCTCTACATATACACATATTTGTAGCCTATATTTAATTTCAATTTGGAAGTTTTGCGTAAATTATCAATAACAAAGTGTTTTTGTTTTTTTTTTGAGAGAGAGGGGAATACCGAATAAATGTAGCCTGACTGGCACCGTCTAGTGCCTCTGCTCAATTTCATTTCTCTCCAGTGACTAGATCAGGAATCAGAATACACTAAATGGTTTGCAAAAACCCCGGAGGTGCGAGTCCAGGCACCAGTCACTCAGCAAAAAGAAATACATTCTGTGTTGGCAATGATTCCGAGATCGAGGATTTAAAGCCAGAACATAGAGAATGTTTGGTGAATTTTATCAAGGGGAAAGACGTTATTGTCCTTCTTCCTACGGGATTTGGGAAAAGCTTAATATACCAGTTTGCCCTTATAGTGTCACAACCAAATCGAGCAATCGGCGAGTTAAATAAAAAAAAGTACCTGCCTACCATGAAGCGAATTCTAATGCTGCAAGGTCAGACGGTTTCCATGAAGTGAAACCAGCTGATGAATCAGGCTAGAATAAATGCATCGTGTAACTAAAAAATAATCGTTTGAATAATCGTGATTTCAATATAATCGTGATATATATATATATATATATTTATATATTTTTTTTTTTCCCCCATAATTGAGCAGCCCTAGTAACAGTACAGTCAAGTCCACACTCGCAGCGGAGGTGGAGTGCACTTTATCCGGAGCCCCTTGCTTTCAAACACTGGCCCCTCCCTCCAGCCTCGCTCCCCGCTTGTGTGGAGCAGCAGCGGCAGAGTGCGCCAGAAGAGACCGACAGGCGTGGAGCTCTCACCGGGGAACCAGCGCGGACGCACCGGTGGCCACAAAACCAAAGAAACTACCCAGAACAGCATCACGGGACACACGGTAGATCCAGTTTGTTTTATCTTGAGAAACGTGAAGTCTTGTACGGACGAATTCGGAAAGTGTACCCGGTGAAGGGGAGGAGATGCAGCAGCTCCAGCCCGACTCTGTGCACACCTCTGCCCGCCTCAGACGCTGCTGATGCCCGCTGCGAGGAGGACTAGAAGGCGGTCGGGAACACAGGGCGTCCGGGGGCGGATGATGCGGACTGCTGGGTCGGTAACATCATCATGGCAAACGGAACCGGTACGATCATGCTGAAGTGCGTCGTGGTTGGAGACGGTGCAGTGGGCAAAACGTGTCTGCTCATGAGCTATGCCAACGACGCCTTCCCGGAGGAGTATGTGCCAACTGTATTTGACCATTACGCAGGTAGGTGCACAACATGGCATTTTCTATTGTTCCTTTCCAACAATAGCGTGGAATAAAACGTCAAATTTAACACGTTTTGGCAACTTGAACGCGAATACAAGTTACGCGTAAGAGTTGGATGGAATTTTTATTTTATTTTTTTTTTACATCTGGCACTCCCTCTGAAGTGCTTTGAATTGCATCTGTTGCTATAATGAAAACCACTTGTTTGCCTGACTGGGGTTGGGGGGGGGACCCTGCACCCCACCTCCCTCCCCAACCTCCCTCCCTTCCCCGTGTCTCGTGCATCTGCGCCCCCTCCCTCATTCACCCACTAAAAAAATCCTCTTTGTCATATCGTTGCAGTGAGTGTCAACGTTGGAGGCAAGCAGTATTTATTGGGGCTATACGACACGGCTGGCCAGGTAGGGGCGTTATTTTTTGATTTTGGCCTTGGTCCAAGCATGTCAAGGTCTCTCCCCCTCTCCCCCTTGCTCTCCTTCTCCTTCTTTCTCTCCCTCTGCCTCGCATATGCTCCCTCCTTATGGGACCAGATATGTGTCTCGCCTATAACACACCCACCCGTGCAGAATAGGCTACGAATTATCCACGCTAAGCTGCAACAGGTGATGGTTTCCGCACTGGGCTGTGGAGAGGAAAGGGGTTCAGAGCGAGACAGAGTTGGCTGCAAAAGGCTTTTCAATACATCTATTATGCAGCGAACAGGGCCCACTATGTCCAGTAGTGATGTCAGAGGTTTGTTAATAGGGCCCTGACAATGTGGCATTCAGAAAACAGGAGTAAAACTGTGGGCGACGCGTGTACAATCATGTTTTCAACTCAGCAGAAGCTCGCTGTGGGTGGAGGAAAGCCCAACAATTTACTATAAGGGCTAGTGCGGTAATGACACAGTTGTAATGGTTTTAATGCAATAATAATAAGAGTAGGCCGATATCAAACATTAAACCAAGTAGGAGCGTGCAAAAATACCGAAATATCAATATCGTTTCAGTATCGTTTAATGTGACAGTATTTTTTGGTGTATTTTACTAAATTATTTTGTTACAGAGCTACAGTTTTGTGGCTTGTTTAGAGGAAGGAAACTAATTTAAGTGACACATTTGACATTTTCACAGTTTTGAGGGTTTACAAGTATGATTTTTTAATATTCGCTTTGCACAAGAAGTGGTTTAACAAAGACTTTTAGTATCACAGCCATCATTTATCCTTTATTTTTTATTGAACTGTATCAAATCGATTGCAAATATATCGTATCGAATCGTAAGTGCACGGTTATCGAGATATGTATCGTATCGTGGCCTACGTATCGAGGTATGGATCGTATCGGTGACTTCTTAATGATACCCAGCCCTAATACGAAGATAGATATACTTATTTGAACAACAAAGATCTTTCCTGAACAGTTTTAAAAAGGTCTTGGTTCATATCACAACTAGTCTAAGACCACATGGTAATATTAAAGGGACTATAATCTGCAATTTTCTTACCTACAGTTTGTTATAATGTTGTTTTCCTCATCAAAAACAGACCTGGAGTTGTGTTGCGTTTCATTCACACATGTTTAACAGCGACACACGAATCATATTTAGGCAGAAAACACTCCACACTCCACTGCGTTTTTTAAGCTCCAAACAAGCTCCAAACACCTTTACTAAAATCATTTGGATGATTTTAGCCAATCTCGACTAAACAAAAGGCCACTTCATGACATCACAAGGTGGAATAGAGCATTTTGAGCTTTGGAGATGTAGACAGACTAATAACAAAAGGATAACTCAAACATGTGTGAATGAAACAAAACACAACTCCAGGTCTGTTTTTGAAGAGGTAACAACATTATAACACGGGTAAAAGCTGGACATGTTGCAATAACCGAAATATGTTGACATCATATCGTCAAAAGTCTCACAATAATATCGTGGACCATCACAATATATCGAATTACAAGTTTCTCTGCTTAAATTAATTGTTATGGAGCAGCAACAGCTAAAAAAACAGGGGGAACTACATAGACCATGATCCTTTGCTCCATTTCAGTGCAGACTACATGAAGAAATAACAGCTCTAAACACTTTTAACCCTTAGTTCTTTGTCTTGTGAAGGCATTTTAAGAGGAAAAAGTAGCGTACTCACAGTTTTGTTAACCGCCACAAAATATTGTAATAAATATCGTACCGTGAGATAAATATCGTGAAAATATCGTACAGAGAGATTAGGATATCGTTACATCCCTACTAAAAACTCACAGGAGCCAGTTTTGTGTAATAACACATTTTGAGGTGAAAAATAGAATAGTATTGAACTCTTTTCTTATCTTAGAATTCGAGTTTGAAGTTTTAGTATTGTAATTTAACACAAATCTTGACACAACTCCGGCATAATGTAATACAAGTTTTGTCCAATACGATACATATCTCGATACAGTGCACTTTTGGTTTGATATGATACTTTTCAAATCGATTCAAAACAGTTCAGTAAAAAAAAAAAAAGGCTAAATCATGTCTGTGATACTAAAAGTCTTTGTTAAACCACTTCTTGTGCAAAGTGAATATGAAAAAGTCATACTCTTCTCTCCAATTTATGTCTCTCTTTTTTAATTTTAATCTTCATGATTATTTATGTTTTGATTTGTTTTTATTATGATTTTAATGTATTTCTTATTCTGTAAAGCACTTTGAATTACTTTGTGTACGAATTGTGCTATACAAATAAACTTGCCTTGCCTTGCCTTGCCTACTTGTAAACCCTCAAAACAGTGAAAATGTCAAATGTGTCGCATACATGAGTTTCCTTCCTCTAAACCAGGGGCGGGCACAGTACAGCCCGGGGCCCTTTAATCTGAACTTGAATAATAGCAATAATAATAATAATAATAATAATTTCAGTGTTTTAAAAGTCATTTCAGTAAATAGTAAATACCGTGGGACTTAAAAGACAGATATTTTGTTGTAATGCTTTGTAATGATTTTCAGTTATGGGATATTTCAATAACATGGCATATGGTTTCTACATTTTTCATGTAATATTTTTCTCTTATGAGGTGAATTACCAAAAAACTCCATCCATTTGCTCCTGGTCCGGCTCTTCCATCAAATTTTAGAACCCTTTGTAGGACACAAGTCAAAAAGTTTGTCCACCCCGCTCAAAAAAACAACAAATCTGTAGCGCTATAACTAAATAGTTTAGTAAAATATACCAAAAAATACTCTTGGCGATATATCGATACAGCAGCAAATGATATTAATACAAAATCATCACATTAAACGATACGATATATTGATATTTCGATATTTTTGCAGACCCCTACTGTTAACCTCATGAAACACACACTTAACATGGGTGAAGTGTCTGGCCAAATGACACAACAACACTAACAACTCTCTGCTCAGCGTTAAGATTGAACCAACAACCTTTTCTAATGAGACAACCACATTTATCTATATTTAGCCAAAATCTAGACTGTCTGTCTTTGTGTTAGTCCCAAGCCTGGATAAACGGAGATCAGTGCTTCCGGGAGGGCATCTGGTGTAAAAATAGCTGCACAAATCGCTCCAGGCTAAGAGACAGAATATCTCAGAGACTCGATCCTGCTCATGAATTTTCAAATGTGATTCAGATTGTGTTTGGAACGGACAGATAATCTCTAAATGTCAGCAGACTCTTTGTGAGGAATTGGTAATGCCACAGAAACCAGTTCAAACTCCATCATGCAGATTTACTCTCTTTGCTTTAAAAGGTTATTTCCACAGTTTATGTTTTTATTCATATATTTTTATCTTATTCTGGTGCGTACAGACTGATCGGCAGTGGTGGTAGAAGTACTTGATTTTGTTGCTTAAGTAAAAGTACAGGTATCAGACCAAAAAATACTCACATGAACATGAAAGTATCACATGAAGAAGTATACTTAAAGAAACTTACTTAAAACATAAAGTACCTGTTTAAAAACGTACATCAGGTAAAAAGTAAAAGTATTTTGTAGTGATGTTGGTAAAGATTTGCTGAATTTGTCGTTATTTGTATATTTTAGGAGTTTAGCGATATCCAAGTCTCACGATACGATATTGTCACGGTATGAATCTCATGGTATGATATTTATTGCGATATCGTGGGAAAGATCACGATATGGTGGAGAGGCTCATGATTAGGGATGTAACAATATCTTGGTATGATATTTTCACGATATACATCTCACGGTACGATATTTATTGCGATATTTTGTGGACGCAAACAAAAGTGTGAATATGCGACTTAATCCAAAGAAATAAGACTTAAAAGTGCTTAAAACTGTTATTTCTTCTTGTAGTCTGCACTGAAATGAAGCAAAGGATCATGGTCTATGTAGTTCCCTCTGTCTTTTTTTAGCTATTGCTGCATTATAACTCTTAATTTAAACAGAGACTTGTAATTCGATATATTGTGATGGTCCACAATATTATTTTGAGAACTTTGACGATACGATATCACAATATTTCGGTGACTGTTACATACCCAGTACATTTTTATTTGCCTAAATTAGGAACATGTTAAAAATAAATCCCTCAGGACTTTCAGCAGGTCTCAAACTGTCATAAAAATACTTTATCACTTCTCAGTCCTGTTCAAAAATGTAGAAAGTGCAGATGCCTGCCCTCAGATTTAGAGAAGTAAATGTAAAAAAAAGAGAATCCACTTTAAAATCTATTCAAGTAAAGTACAGAGACCTAAATTTTTTTGACATAAGTACTGTACAATAACTGAAATATTGTGATATCGTATCATCAAAGTTCTCAGAATAATATCGTGGACGTCACTATATATCGAATTACAAGTCTCTCGCTTAAATGAATAGTTTTGGTGAGGAAATAGCTAAAAAAAAAAAAAAAAGAAGAGAACTACATAGACCATGATCCTTTGCTGTGTTTTAGGGCAGAATGCTTGAAGAAATAAATGTTAGATGCGCTTTTAAGTCTTAGTTCTTTGGATTAAGTCTTGTCAAGGTATTTTAAGAGGAAAAAGTCAAATTTTCACAATTTTGTTACCCTAAATATCGCAACAAATATACCGTGAGATGTATATCGTGAAAATATTGTACTGAGAGATTTGGATATCATTACATCCCTACTACTTGTACTTCTTTAGATTCCACTACTGCTGATCATTTTTGTCTAAAGTTGGACTATGTAACTTTTCTGATAAACCACATGCTTGTCTCCAGAGATGGTTTTCCTGGAATGTTTCACACAGAGAACTTAAAACAACTAAAACCTACAATGGCACACTGTTACTTTGTGGTTGATTTATAACAGTATTTGTGGTGGTCGGCAAAAAACACAATATTTGTACAGTTAAAAATGTCCTTTCTAGTGTATTTTAATGTAGTACAGCTGGTTTGATGTTGCCTATTTTTGTGTATGATTAAATA